GATTAGGATTAGTTTATCTTATTATCAGATTAGGATTAGCTTATCTTATCCTTAGCAAGATAGAATTGGAAGTCTCCCTATTCAGCAAGGAGACTCCCTAAGATTAGGACTCTTGTAATCTCCTATTTAAGGAGACACCATTATTGAATGAGGATATCGAATATTCAGTCTCAAGAAAGAGAGTAAAGGAGAGTTAGGTGATCTCTTGGACAAATCACCCTCTAGGACGCCAAGATAGGTTCAACTAGGAAAGGGAGGAACAAGGGAAAACATGAGCGTTTCCCCGTGGACCGACCCGTGACGCGATCCTACACCCGGGCCCATAACAGCTTTCTTATCCCTTGCTCATGTAGCAGACCCCATACAGACGGTACAAGGCTATGATGATGATTTTATCTCAGTGTAAAAAGAGTAAAATTCCAGCTACCTAACTACTGCTTAGATTCACCTTTTGTAGATGCTCAGACAAAAAATGAAAGGAAAAAACAGGTAGGAAGGAAAGTTACGATAGAATTCCAACCTTTTTGTTATTTGTTTCCGCACTTTTGCTGTTTTTTGCTTCATTGAACTCTTCTGTTTTATAGGAAACTTCTGTGGAAAGAAACCTGAAGCATGATCAAGGCTGTTTGTAATTTGTTGGCTAGTGCAGCTGAAAGTTTCAATCCAGAGAGGATATTAGCCACCAAAAAAAAATCATAAGATACTCTTTGTAATTTGTACCATATGCAACCTTACAGTATAAGTCATTAAATAAAACAGAAAAGAAAGAAATGAACCAAATCCTAAGCTTCAAAAATCATAGAAAAGGAGCGTTCAACTGAAGTTGATACTGCTATTTACAAAAAATTTTAACTGCTACGCCTTAGACACTGGAATAGCTTAGTACCATCCAAGCTCCAGCGAGCAATTCTCAATTATATAAATTTATTATTTCATAACAAAATTGTAGAATTAACACAAACAACTTTAAAATGTACATGACAAAATTAGACATCTTGCATACCAAGGGCCATCACAATGTTCCTCTAAGCAGAGACAGTTAAGTTTAGCTGATGTAGGCCTGAGTTAGAATCCCAAGCCCAGTGCCCCAACCTGACCAAATAGACACAACCATCTATTTTGGGCCACAAGACTTTTCTTTTGGGGCCAACCCCTCACTTAAGGCCAATGGACCTCTTGGCTGAGCCCATGTTTAAGCTCAGTCTTGGAAGACGCGAGCAAAAGCTTTAGCTGCCTTCCTTAACAGCTCGTTAATGTGGATTTGCTTAGCTGACTAACATGCTGGAGGCTTGGGAAGAGTAATCTAATATTGGGATTCATGTGGAATATTAGGAGCATTGTATCTTTTTTTATAAGTGAAGTTAGATTTCATTAATTTTGAAAATATAATCATTACAAGCATCCCTTAGAGAGGCATGAGATGCTACCTCTCTATAAACAAAACAGAGAAATTACAAGTGAGCCCAAAACAAAGATTGTATTCACCCCTTGCTTGGCTAGAGTATCAGCTAATTCATTTGCCGGTCGCTTCACCCACTGTATCCTCAACTTCATATTCTTGGTGATCCATAAAATCCTTTTTAATTCATCCCTGTAGCACCATATCACAGATTCTGGATCCTTTAACCAACCCACCACCAATTTTGAGTCCCCTTCGATCACCAAATTGATTAGGTTCAGCTCACTTGCAATTTGTGCTCCATGTAAGGCTGCAAGCAATTCTGCCTTGAGAGAATCTCCATACCCTAGTGGACCAGAAAACAATGCTATTAATTTGCCTTTCATGTCTCTCACAACCCCCCCCCCCATACCAGCAGGTCCTAGATTCCCCTGCTACTCCCATCAAAATTCAGTTTTGCATAGTCCTGAGGTGGGGGAAGCCATGCAACATTTATTCTTTCTTTTCTAGAAGAGCTTCTTGCAACACCTCCGCAGTTCCTGCATAAGTAGTCAGGAGAAATTTGAGAAAACAGGTCCAAAGATTTGATCCCATGCATCACTCTAACCATCAGACAATCCCTTATTTCTTCCTTGCTTCTTTCCATCTCAGAGAAGACTCTCGCATTCCTCTCATCCCAAATGGTCCAAACCAAAGCAGCTCTCTAACATACCTCCACATTATTCTTACTCTCTTTTTTGGCCAAGTAAATGTAAAAGGATCAAACAGCAAGTTAACCTCCACTGGTAAGGACCACCTGCACCCAAACAACGAAAAAACCAATTCCATATATCTGCAACAAAAGAGCAAGAAATCAGTAAGTGATAGCAACTCTCGTTATCAGATCTGCACAAAACACACCTGTTTGGAGAGAGACATAAATTAGGTCTCCTCTTTTGTAGCATTTCCAAAATATTAATTTTCCCATAAATTACCTCCCAACAAAAAACTCTTCTTTTAGGAGGAATGGGTTTGCACCAGAACTCTCTCAAGGGAACCAAAGGAGAGGGCAAAGAATTACAAAAGAGACTTGAAAAAGGAAGCACAAGAAAACAGAAGCATTACTCAGTTAAAACTGAAAAACCGAACCAAAAATATCATTTTCGGTTTTTGGTTATTTCGGTTCGGTTATTTCGGCTTTGTAAAATTTTTGTTCCGGTTTTGGTTTTCAGGTTTAGAAATTCGGTTAACCGGAAAAAAAAAAGGAAAAAAAAAACGAATTAACCTAACTTTATTATCTATAATATATATTAACATATAATACATATATATAATATGTATAAAATATATTATATTGTATTATATTATGTATTAAAATATATAATTTATTCTATACATTGTATAATATATATTTTTTAATATATTATATATTAAAACATATATAGTGTTGAAATTCGGTTTTAACTGAAAATAACTGAAAACCAAACCAAAAATTTTGGTTTTGGTTATTTTGGTTTTTTATTATTTCGGTTTTCGTTCGATTGTTCATTTAAAATTCCGGTTTATTCGGTTCGGTTTTTAACCAAATAAACTGTTTGCTCACCCCTAGAGGGGCCCAAACACACTTGTCTGACTTATTAGGATTAAAACATACACGAGACAGTCTCTTCCTTTTTGATTCCTTCTGACTCAAACTCTGTGTTTGATTGGGATTTGGGTTTTCAGAGGGGGACAAGAGATTCTGAATGAATTTTGTGTTGGAATTAATCAAACTTTTACAAGGAATCTTCTTGGACCCCTCTAAGCCGGACAGTAGATTATGGACCCTTGCCCCTTTTGGTTCTTTTTCTTGTGCCTCTTTTAGGAAAGCCTTTGTCTCAACCTTTCTTGTTAAAGAAGTGTGGGGAAGGCCAATCCCTCCAAGAATAGGAACCTTCTATTGGGAAGCTCTCTTGGGGAAGATCAATACCTACGACATACTTCAAACAAAGAAAAGGACCATTTTGGTTCTTGTCTCCTAACTGGTGCACTTTCTGTAAAGCCAATGGTGAGAACTACTATCACTTGCTAATATCTTGTCCTTTCGTTCTTTCTATTTGGGTTTGGTTTGCTTCTTTGTTTGGTTACAGGTGGAATTCTCCTCCAGACTTACAAAGCTTGTTCACTTCCTGGGTTTCTAGTGGGATGAAGAGAAGGGGCAGAATACTTTGGAGATGTACCAGAGATGTTATTGCTGGACAGCTTGGGAGGAAAGGAATCAAAGGGTATTTCAGAATAAAGAAAGGAGCTTCACTGCAATTGTGGAGATGGTTACAACTAGAGTGATACATTGGGTGAAATACCAATGCTTTGAAAATCATAATCATATCGTAAATCGTAGAGAAAGTTGAATCGAATTGAATCATGAATCATATCGTAAATCGTAAGATTATTTCTATTTTTTACAACTTGTCAAAAAATTAAATATAGATATATTAAAAGGTTAAATATATATAGGAAAGTGAACTTACCCTATTTTTAATCTATATCTACCATATATGTACTTAAAACAATAGAATTTACCACTTGTACAATAGAATCATAAGATGATATAGTCAAGTTTGATTTGAAAATCAAACAAATCTACATAAAATGGCCCTTTAACTTACATATGATAGAAAATAAACTCAATTTTTAGTCCTGAATAGTGTAAACAAATCATTCTAGTAAGGGCTTTAAAAAACGTCTCCCATGGCAAAACTAAACATAAACAAAGAAAAACAAAAGTAGAGAACTAATTCTTAATTGAATTTATTTGAATCGTAGTGAATCGTAAAAATTGTAAGATTTATGAATCAAATCGTAGGATTTTGTTTTGATAAATGAGTAAGATTTTATTCAAGAAAGATCAATATGATAAATGATAATACACTACAGACTGGCCCAAGGAGAGGCACGAGCTGGTACCTCTCCTAAATCAAATTGTAGGATTCAAACAAGATTTTTGTAAAAAAGAATTCGGACATAAAATTCTAATCGAAACCCTTGGGATTCATGATTCAAATCGTGAATCATATCGTAAATCGTATGATTTTAGCAACATTGATTTCAACAGATTCACTGATTAATAATTGGGAGGAAGTGGCCAAATCAGCGCCAAGGAATGCTGCTCCTTCCCCACTGTGGTCCCCACCAACTGAAGGGTTTACTAAACCAAATTCTGATGGAAGCAGTGAAGGTAACCCAGGACCTTCAGGTATTTGAAGTGTTTTTAGGAATGAGGAAGGACAGGTTTTGGCATCATTCTCTGAGTCAGTGGGTGGAGGTGATTCTCTCAGGGCTGAGGTCTTGGCTGTGTTGGAAGGGGTAAGGAGAGCAAAAGAACTAAATATACAAAATCTAATCATTGAAGGTGACTCCAAGGTAGTTATTGCCTAATTGGATAAAGAAGAGAATGGACTTTGGGAATACGCAAATGAAAAAAAGGAATTTAAATGGTTGTCAAGGGGTATGATCGTAAGACTTCAATGGGTTAAAAGGAGTGCTAACTCCTTTGCTGATGCCTTAGCTAAACAGGGGGTGGGAAGGGTTCATTCACTGTGGGCATGCCTGTAAATCCTTGACTGTACCTTATCTATCCTTGGGGAGGGTTAAGAGAATTTACCCCTCCCCTTGGATGATATATTCTTATTTTAATTCATTTAGTGAAATTCTGGTTATTGATTAAAAAAAAGTATTTGAAGCAAATCCATACAAGCCCCCATTTCATCACCCTTAATCCTCTACAAAAACCAAAATCCCAGTTATGATCCATTGGGTGAACAGGGGGGACAATGAATTTAGAGATACATTCATTTGTGTACAAAGAAACTGAGTATGAAGATGGGAAGACATCCTTTAGAGGATGGGATCCAATCCAGATATCCTCCCAAAATTTAATAGTATCCCCTGAAGAAGCACCATACCTAACAAACTGGAGAAGAGTGGGCAAAATGCAATGAATTGCCTTCCATAGACCACGGAGACACTAATGTAGCCCGGTTCGAAACACCTGCATCCCAACCTACCATGAATACTGGCTACCACCTTATGCCAGAGTCTATCCCGTTCCCATGGTAATCTCCATAACCATGTCCCTAGCAATGTCAAATTCTTTTTATCCACATTCCCAATTCCTAGTCCTCCTACCCCTAGACTTCTACTCATAGTCTACCAATTAACCATGTGATCTTTTTTACCTTCTCCTGATTCCTACAAAAGAAACCCTCATCAGTTTCCCTATCTTTTTTTTTCCTTTTTAGGGATCCTAAAGACCGACAAGAAGTAAATTGGCAAATTAGCAAGAGTAGACTTAATTAGAGTAATCCTACCAAGTGAGATGTAATTCCTTTTCCAAGTTGCTAGTCTCTTGGTACACCTCTCAAAGATTGGACTCTAAAACCTAATCTCTCTAGGGTTTGCACCTAGGGGATGTCCTAGGTGCATGTGTGTTCTTTTTTCATTAGTCAGCTATATGCTATCTTTTTTTCATGGTTTTTCCTGCTATAATGCTATTAGGTTTCCTAACTAGTAGGGCTCTCTCTACATTTCATCTCTATTTAAGGCATTTGATTGTAAATTAACAAGAAAAATTGATAGCATATAACTAGATTCCACACATAGGATTATAAGCTTGTATTCAGGTGCCAACATTAGGGGTGCAAGTCAAGCAGGGATAGGTCACGTTGAGATCAAGATTAACCCAAGCCAAGCTATTGAAACCCCTAACCTAACCCTAACCCAATGACCCAATGACTTCAGGTTGGGTTAGGCTTGGGTTATCCCAATTTCTTCTTTTTTTATCAGCAATTTCTTCATTTATTTTCTGCTAATCCTTTTATTAGAATTAAGATTAGTAGATTAAGGTTGACTCACTTTAGCATTATTATATGTACAAAAACACAATTATGGTGCTTTGGGAGCACTTTATTTATGCTAATTGTTATTCTAGAAATTTTTTACCTTTCACTTTTTTGTTGCTAACATATACATAGATGTATACATTCATGGATGCACATATTTATATCTATAAATGTCATATTTATATGATATTTATACATAAATATTAAAACATGTTGGGTTTGGGTTGGGTCAGGTTGCCTAAATCATCAAACCTAACCCAATATGCAGTCAGGTTCATATTTTATGGGTTGGGTACAGACTAACCCAGCCCACATTGCAGCCCTAGATGACATCATATTAGATCAGATTCTTCAATTTTTGCTTATATGCTCTACAATTCCTGCAGTGAGTCCCAATACATGCTATCAACCCTACAGATTAATAACTGCACCCTAATTGTTCTTCTAGTTTAAGGAGGAAAAACCTGCATTTTGACAACTTTCACAACTCTTAGGTTCAGCAGCAAGATTTTTTAAAAAGATCATTTTTTTTCATATGAAGCAATCAAACAATGTATAGAAACCAACCCAAAGCCCCCCTAACAAAAGTGTCTGGTTTGTGAACTTTAGTTCAACTTTACATTGGCATAGAAGTTTAGAATGATTAGTACATGACAAATAAGAAAGTTATCAATCTCGTGTACGGAAAAGAAAAAAAAAAGAATATTGAAAATTATATATTTATGATGTTAAGAATGCTTTAAACAATAGATAAAAAAAAGAAAGAAAAGAAAAGGACACTTCCTAACCAAAACCCATAATTGTCATATTTCCTTAGCAGTCCAGATCTCCTGCACTTAGGTTTTTTATGCCAAGTTGTGCACTAACCAATGAGAATTCATCAAAATTCATGGAGGTACTTTTGATTTGTTAAACCCTTGTATGTGAGAGTGGATGGGTACTCTTACATTTGAGAGTTTGACCGATCAAAGGCACCCCATGAAATTTTTCGAATTTTCATCGGTTAGTATATGACAGCATAAAAGCCTAAGTATAGGAGATCCAGAGTATTTCATTGGATACATCTTCACCCCAGGGAAGACCCACAGAAAGGAAGGAAAAGAAGAAAGGGAAAAAAATGCTATCTGGCTTTCTCCCAGACTTCCATTTTGATGACTGCACCTTGTACCTATAAACTTTCTTGGTTCAATCTTTAGTGAAAATCTCTATTAACTTTAACAAAAGAATTAGTGTTAGATCATGAAAATTGTCACCTAAACAACCAAACATGGCAGAGATCAACAGAATTAAAGGCACATGTCTTGAAACAACTAAGAAAGTTGTCACCTGGAAAAGGCAAACATGAAAACATGGAAGAGAGCTACATGTTTCTATAGGCATGTTCATTGATCCCAAATTGAAGTGACCATGAATTTTTTTTATCAATAACAGAGACCATGGAATTGATAATGACTACTCTGGAAGGAAAAGGAGGAATAAAACAAAAACAGAAACAAAGAAACCGCCTAGTTTTGGTCCCAACCATCTGGGGTCTTGGAAGGGGTGAACTGGATATGGACCTAACCTAAGGCATTTTATCATGAAGTGGCTGCTCTAAGATCAACCTACATTTTCACACTTACTAATCTATAATTTTACTAAGATTTTACCATATTTGGACAACCTATGAGGATTAATAATTATTATTATTATTATTGTAAGAGAGCAGAAATAGTAGTACTAGTGCAGGGTCTGAAAGTCAAGAAAGCATTGGGTATAGACAGAAATTTGGTGGGAAGGGACTCTCAAACTGTTAAGCATTGAATGTAAAGTCTAAGACATTCTACTAGAGGAGCAAAATCTTAGGAAACCAGGTTGAACTGCAAATTTAGATGGATACCAAGACCTAGCAAAACAAATTCAAACTTGGCAGATGGACCAATTATGAGAATTGGATCTTATGCACAGATTCTGCTCTAGACTGCGGTCGGTGTTGACATTGGTTCCCCTTCTCTTGTTATGCATGCTGTAGTTAAGCTTGCAATTCTGACAATATTTAACATAAGATTAAGAAACACATTTATTGTAATATGAAGACATAACAAGAAGCAGAATTTCACACAGAATACATTAAGATCTTTATCAATAGGAAATTTCACCTAGATGTTGGTAAAGCTTGTGGGTTCTTTCCCCTGACAAGGGTTCAAATCACTGTTCACCCTCTAATGACTGACAACACCTGCTTAACCACCCCAGTGTAATATAGATTATATGAAGAACTCAATGACACAAGCAGATACCTTTGCATGCACATCTTTATATTTCCTGCTTGACTAGAGCAAATCAAAAAAGTAAAAAACAAAAACAAAAACAAAAAAAAAGTACCTTGCAGTTGAATGACTCAAGTCAAGATGCTTCAGTAGATATCGGTTCTCTTTTCCAACCTTCTCATTAATATGTTGAGCTTTTACCATTTGGAGTGATTCTGGAGAAGATAAGATAGTATGTCAGTCAAAATGAAGTGAAAATATTTTTCATAAGGCTATGTTTGGCTGTTTGGACAAAACAGCTTGGACCGTTTTGAAGGTTCCTGCACATGACACATTAGCCCATTTAGTTCTTTATTTGTCTTTTAAATTAAAAGGATATTGATTGCAATTACCACACCCTTGTTAACATGTCATGCACATGAAGCTTCAAAACAGACCAGCCTGTTTTCTCTAAACGGCCAAGCTTTTCTTGAGATTTAGACAGTTGTCGGAAAGTCCTTGAGGGATTTCATGAAATGACTGAAATGCTTTAAGGACTTTCCCACAACATTCCCAGTTTCTTCTTTTTTTTTGACGAAAGGTAAGGTAAAATTTTATTAAATTAGGAATAATGATACAAAAGGCTCCCCCAAAAAACATCTATTGGGCAGGGATCCCATAGATCCATAACCATTACAAATGCCAGAAGTTCCTAGAGTACAGTCTAAAGAAATTAGTGGCTTGTTTCCTAAACAAATTCCAGTTTTAATAATTTCTTAGAAACCAAATGCAGCCTAAAGAAATTAATGACTTTCTCCTTTCTGTCACACCCTTCTCTTTTGAAAAAGCGTAACTAATGGCCTGTGCAAGAGAGAAGCCACCACTGTAAGAATTCAGATCAACAGGTAGTTAGTGCAAACAATATTGCATGGAAATACAAAATTGGGGCTGCAAACAGTTTATGTATTCAAATTAAATCTAGTTAAGGGTGAACACCTCAAGTTGTATATCTTTCAAAAAAAATCAACTCAAGTTGTCTATAATTGGATCAAATATGGATCCATCCCTATCCTATTCAATACAATCCAACATGATCTTATTTAAATAAATATGCTTATATATAAAGTTAACATCTATATTATATCCATAATCCATTCAGACAAGAATTGTACATGGGCTTTGAAAGTCAGAAGCAAGTGTCAAAGGAGGGGTAGGTTGGTCAAAGAGTAGCAGAGTGAAGAACAAGTAAGGATGTTTCCAAAGAATCCCCCTCAGGAGGACCGAACTCCCTATTTATAGGGAGAGCTAGCCATGCAAATATACATGGCTCTTCAATATTCCAGAACATTCCAAGGAGGTTTTAGTTACAGCTGCAAATCCTTGGCCACCTCAGGTGAAGACACATGTAAGGAGGGAACTAGGTATTAACCTGCATGGTTTTCCCCGTCTCCTTCATGATCTCACGACATGGCACGATATGAGCCTACAATACATTGCCATCACGCTTAAAGTGCTATGTTGTTAAGACGTGGGAATCACAGAGTTGGGTTTTGGAAAATCCTCCTATGAAATACTATTTTGCAGACTCAGCAGATGAGATCTTGCGAGTCTCAGAAACTAAATACTCAGGAATCACAATACTTCAATTCAATGTTGTAACAATTGGCATACCATCCCCTTACAGTACCTATTAGTAAGGTTGGTCTGATTGTTTCATACAAGTTATTTCCAATTCCCTTGTTTTTGGTAATTAGGTTTTTTGGGGAAAAAAGGTATTGTACAAATTTATTTGAACCATGCAAAACACTACACCCACCTAAGTACACTGAAGGGTGGTACATTGGCTACACAAAATCTATATAAATAGGGTCCCAAAAGCAAAAATAAGTAAATAAATAAATAAATAAAAATAAAATCTGAGTATGAACTCTAAACTGTTTCTAGATACACAGCCATGAATATAAAGTTCCTTTGAGATTCTTCTTTGCCACATCCATTTCATTCTGCTTGTTTTCAATGATTCTCTGGTTCCTTTCCTTCCAAACCACCCAGCTGATAATTAGGTATTTTCAATTCATTTCGTTCACGATGTACATGTCAATGCCATTTTTAGTTCATTTTATTAATAATATATAATGATTTGAATATGATATAAATCTGATGGATGAGATTCAATTAAAATCCAGATATTAACAAATCAATTTTGGAGCTAGGCATCTAGCTAATATCTGGTTCAATCCAATCCATTTGCAGCCCTTGACAAAATTCCCTTGTTCATCACAAACACAGAAGTGCAGCCCTTTCTAGTAAATTAGCCTCACCTTTCCAAGCCAGGTAGGTTTTCTCATTGACTGATGAACCAGCAACTGCATGAATCACCTCTTGCAACAAGTGAAGAGGAGTGCTCTTCAACTCCTGGACAATACCATGAACAGACTTCCCATTCTCCAGGAATATGTTATCATTGGGATGTTTAGTTCTGCATCCAGCATGCTGCTCAAACTCATAAGCATTGAGAACCTGCAGAAGAAAGCCTTATCTGATAAACCAATCACGTGGCATAAGAGTTTCCTTAAGAGAGCTAGAACTAAACATGACGAACATACTTGTGTAAAATTACATAGTGGACAACCACACAAATAACCCCAGCCTCTTATAACTCCACGAAGCTCTTTCTGACAAGCATGGAAAACATTGTGACTATGAGTAAAGAGACGGATGTGACCATCAGCAAATAATATATATAGTTCAGAATACGAGCCCAGAACTTACCTTTCGAGCAAATGAAATATACTTCACAAGAGCCCCTTCTAGAATACCGGTTGAGAACAACTTTTTGACATTTGTAATGTAACTGTTAAAACCAACCTTCTTGGACATCTTTAATTCCATTTTTCTTTCGGGGTCATCGTTTTCTGTTTCAAAAAAGCCCCTCCCCGAAGTACCCATGAGCATGTCCACACTCGACCCAGTCAATGCCAAGGAGTTCACCTCGGGCTTCTTGCAATCGAGGAAATTGTCTACTCCCTTCCTTTCAGGCTGAGCTAGGGAAGATGGCTCTCCATTGTTGTAGTCCTCCTTTCTCTTGCTGAACTTGAATATTAGTCTTCTAACTCCGCAGGAGCCAACAGGATTTGATGCCTCCATTACAACTTGCGATATGGTAGATTCAGCAACAGGAGAAACATTGTTTCTACTATGAAGAAGCTCAAGTTCATCATCACTCATACTCTCCATGCTTGAATTGCCCATACTGGTAGACGTCTCGTCACCACATCCCAGACGGCTATCGCTGACCAACTCAACAGGTTGGCTGGAGATAGTTCGACAGCTAGACGTATTCTCTCTGGGTGAAACATTGGGATTCAGAACTTCAGAGTTAGATTCTTCGTTTGATGTTTCTTTTGCTTGCTTCTTGCTGGGGAATGGTTCCGGTTCGGTAGCATCTACAACCGATTGATGATCACGTTTTGATTCGATTCTTGATGAACTCTCCTGCGGTATCTCGCCATCTGTCAACGCTGTTACGCAAGCATTGCCTTCTCCCATTCAAAACCCCTCTCCTGAACATCAAAAATAGAAGCGAATTGTGTGTAATCGTTGAATTAACTTGATACGTAAGACTCCGTTCAAATAAAAGCAACGACAAGATGAAGGAAAGAAAGCAATTGGCAACAAATGAACAATAATTAACAACAAGGTCCATCAATAGAAAGAGATACCAAAAGAAATAAAAGGAAAAAAAAAAGGAAAGATATACTAAAATAAGGTATCTAACCTACCTGGAAGGCCTATTCGATTGAAAGCCCCTCCAGATCGAATATGAAAGTCCAGTGAGTGGAATGAATTAAAATCCCCCTTCGTTGAAACGCGAATTTTATTGAATAACACAGTCCGATGACAAAATTAGGGTTTTCCTTCCTTCACAATAAGAAGAAGGAGAGACAGATCGAATTATGGAGAGGGTTAGGGTTTTCCTTCCCAACGACAGCACTGGAACTCACAGGGGCGGCAACAACCCAATCCAAAAGCTGGGTATACGCTCGCGGTTGGAGCCAATTGGAGGAGGGAGAAAGTGTGAAACGATGGAAAGAGAGAGAGAAGAGAGATGTGGATATATATAAGACGTCATGACTCGCGAGTCGCGGCCTTTATTGGCAAAGGAACGTAGGCAATGGGGTTCAAATTGACATTTTATATGTTTTCGTGGACCCAGGTCGTTGCTGACATGTCACATATACAGCACGCCGATCAACAAATGATGTACTGTTAATTTCTATTGCTGACGTGGCGTAATGTGAGATGGGACCTATGACCTCAAACCGTTGGATGATACTCGAGATCAATGATGTCTGCAACCATTGGATGGTTGAGCCGGAGATTCTAGATTCTTCATCCTCGCGTGGGACGCAACTCTGTCGACAGATTGGGATCCAATCATCCAATCAACACGTAAATTCTTCCGAAGCCTGAAGACTGTCAGTTTCAAAATTTCCTTTAATGCGCCCAAATGATTCAAAGTTGGTCACATTCCCGCCATTGTGCTCTCAGAACCAACATATTGATGAAACTTTCATCATGCACCAAAAAGAAAACTATAGGAAAAAAAAACTACTTTCAAAGTTTCACAACTTACCTAACTCTGTGCCTCGAATGACTCCTCATGATACGATGTGTTTGGTTTGAAGGGAAAAGTACGGAAAGATAGAAAACCTTTACATCATATTAATGAAACAGGCTTCTCTCCTGCTAGCCGGTATTTCATATTTGATAACCAGTAAAATGAGTGATAAAAGTGAAATTTGGAAAACATTTCAAATTCAAAGATGTGCCAAAATTTCAGCAAGTAACTCGGTTTTTTAGTATCACATCGTACACAATATATACGGCTGACAATGGATCGGTTCTACCCGACCGACCAAAACTAACCGAACCGATTATGCCACTTAAATTTATCATTTGTCTAAATTTTTTTGGTAGAAATTTCATTGGCCAAAGCCAGAACAGCATCATCAAAAACAAAAAATTAACAGCACCCAAACTAAAATACTAGCATGATCCCGAATTATTAGGCCAAAAGTTGCTGTATTACTAGACAAAAAAAAAAAGCCCCATCAACATTAATTTTCAAGCCACCAGATTAAGGGGGTCTAGAAAACTGAAGAGCCCGCCTCTCTTTTAAAATGGGGTTGTGTTTGTGATTAAGTAAATAAGTAACTGCAATCTTATGAATCTTTTGGAGCTAAATCTGAACCCTGTATGTATATATGTATCATTAGTTTTGTTGTCGTCATTTTCATCGTTGTCGCCATCATCATCGTCGGTGAGCATTACCTCTTCATCCTCTTTCTCCTCTCTCTTCTCACAAACTAATGATACATATATGCATTAGCAAATGTGCACATGCATTGCATGTGGCAATTTCCAATGATAATGATAATAAAATTTAAATGCTTTTATTAGAGCTCGTGTAACAAAGATAAGTGATAAATCACACTGTAATTGATACAATAAAAATGATAACCTATCAACATCATCTAAGAGCTTTGTCCAAATTATATGGAATCAGCCACATGAATCCCTTTTCACTATTCAATGTTATATCCATCATTAAATTATGGACACTTATATTTTTATTACTTCCACCCAAGTCCTCAATTTGTCCTTTGCTCTTCTAGTCCCTTCTACATTAAATTGAACAACTTTTTAAACATATTTATATAAGGTTTTACATTCAAATGACCAAAACCTCTCAATAATATATCCTCTCATTTTTCTCCATTTGGAGTTACTCCTACATTCCTTCATATGTCACACCAATCAAGTGGTATTCATTAAAATTCCTTAGTGGTGTATAATCGGTTAAAATTCTTTTGGTATCATACCTTCTGGCATCATAGGTATAAAGAATATATATAATATTAAAGAGACATGTTCGATTATTTTATAAAGCGACCTGACCACGTATATATATTTATTTATTTATTTTACTATTAAATATTTTTTTAATATGGAAAGTTGGAAAATTCTCATATTTCTTAGTCTAAAATATTTTATATTATAAATTTAATTTTTTAATAATACCATTGTGATTTTTAATTTTAATTTTAATTTTTAAGTTTAAATCTTTTTAATTGACGGATCAAACTGAAAACTGACCCAAACCAATATAACTCATGTCGACCAATTTTCACTAATGTCCGATCAATTTCAAGTGACCAACTCCATAACCCGACCAGGTCAGTTTGGTAGCCAAACAATCCACAACCGAACCGAACCGACCCGTGAACACTCGTAATTTCATTTAAAATAATAGTCTAATACATAACAAATAACAATAGTCTAATCTCCAATGATTCTTGATGATTTTCTATTAAATAACAAAATTATAATTATTTTTGTAAAATATAATTTATACTATTATTACATAAAATTATAATTTGTAATTTATACTATTGAAAATTACATCAAATGTAAAATGATTATTAATTTGAAATTTATGAAATCTAATATAATTATTTTTTCTACCCATAAGAAACCTTCTAAATTTATTACATAATTTATTTATATTAACTTTTTAAAATCTATCCTTTTTAAATATTTTATTATTTAGTTATTGAAATATTAAAATAATATGTAAAATATTTAAATTTTATCTATTTTACATTTATTATGTAATATTTAATATTTTGTATATAATTATTTAGTTATTTTAGTATCTTGTTATTTAAAATATTTAGTAGTTGAAATATTTAAATAGTATATATTTTTTATTTTTTTATTTTATTATTTGAATAACATTGAAATGATTTTTTTATTTATTTAAATATTAAGATGATACGTATAAATATTTAAATTTTCATAAAAATATAAATTATTAATAGTATGAACATTATTACATCAATTATAATTATTTTTTGTGTTTCTAATAAATATTTTAAAGTTATTACATGATTTATTTATAATATTTAATTAATTCTTAGATTTTTTAGTTAAAGCTTTATTTAGATAGATATGGATGAAAAGTGGGGAAGAGAATAACTAGGAACTAGTGATAATTTAAGAGAAAGTGGGCAATAGTGGTACCACATGGCTAGTGGGGGATAAGAACAAATTGGAGTAAGGATTGGTTTTACAAAGGACTCTTATATCTTTCCTAAAAAATAGGAAAAATAGGGATAAGGCATGTTGAGGTGGCATGCACCCCCTATAGAATTGCGAGATTAGGGTAATGGAGAAAGGAGAGGCAATTTGATGTGACTATCCTAATTTTAGTATTGGGTTATCTTAATTCCTCATTTTAGTTTAATCTCATCCCTTCTTTAATAACCAATTGACGTGAAGAATTTTTCAATTTTATAATCTCGTAAATTTCTCTTTTTTCCCTAGATTTTATTTTTCTGTAGTTCATAGCATTTTTCTCCTTTTTTTTCCCATGGTTTCTTTGATCATCACTTATTCGAAGATTCATTGGGATTGCTTATTGGATAAATAAGTACAAGTACTTGTTGAAAAAGTGTTTACAAATATGCCAATAATTATTTTTATATTTTATATTATATTTATATCATTGATAAATACGAAGTTGCCATTATGTAGCCCGAGTTTGTGCATATCCCATTTGGGCATTTTTATTGTACTTCTTGTTTTTTCTCTTTTAATAAAGATTTATTTTACAAAAAAAAAGTCATACTTATGTTTAATATGGCGATATATAATAATAGTGATGTGTCCAAAATTTTCTATAGATTTTCTTTGTTTGTTATACTTTTTTATATTTTTATCTATTTCTAATTTTTATTATTTAATTATGGCATTTTAAATTGATCCATTTGGCCCAGATGGTTGAACCACTTACCCACCACCTAGATGAAAAAAATGGTTTCATTTATGTATTATGAATATCATTATTTATCCACTTAATTAATCAAATTTAAAAATAAAAAACAAAAATATATTAAATATGGTATTCAATGGTAGGTAGTAGGAGTCAATACCTTAAATATGGAATTTAATGTGAGGGAATTGAATAAAATGAATAGTACTATTGAAATTACAATTTTTTTGCTGCCAAAATGAAAATGTCCAAATTCTAAATAAAGGGTCTTTTAGCCAATAAAATTTTTAGAAATCAATACCTTAAATATGGAACTTAATGCGAGGGAGTTTAAAAATTGAAAGGTGGTATTGAAATTATATTTTTTGCCCACAAAATAAAGAGTATCTAATTTCAAAATGACGAGTATTTTAGGTAAATAAAATTCCAAAAATATCAAGGATCATTGGTGCTTTTTATAATAGTATAAATATGATACATTTTACCCTAATATTCCAATCTAAGGGTTAAATTTATCAAAGCGTTCAAATTATTCAACCAAGACAGTCAAATCATGGCCAAAACGGTTCCGTCTCTAGTCAATTTTTAAAACCTTGGCGAAGATATCTTAGAATTCAAGATTCAATCTAAACTAATCAAATTCAAGTAATTTAAATTTTATAATTGGTAAAATTCATACATGACCTTATTTGATATTGGAATTCAAGATTGAGGTGGCATTTTATAAATCTGAAATTTGAAGTCTTAAAAGTTAAAAAGATATTAAAAGTGTCTAAAATCTAAAAAGAGGCATAAATGCTTTTCTACTTTTTAGAAACTCTGAATAAATAAACTTGTTTGTGTTGGACCAAATCTTTAACATCTGAAATTCCTTAATTTTACTATTTTACCCATAGAATAAACTATTTAGTAATTTTGAGCTCATCTTGTACTATTTCGTATAAAATAATTTATCAAATTCAAAATAATATTTATTAATTAATAAAACAATATTTAACAATAAATAAACATTTAATAATTAATAAACATAACTAATAATTAATAATCAATAAAAAACACAAATACAAAATAATAAAAATAATTAATAACTAATAACAATTAAAATAATTAACACTAATAATGATTAAAAATGTAATAAAATCAGTATTTAATTAATAATTAATAAAAAAATAATTAATTACTAAATACCTAACTAATATCTAATGAAAACATTAAATTAATCAACAATAATAAAAATTAAAATATGTGATCATTAATACAAAAAATCATAACAATTTAAAAATAAAAATTTCAATCCA